AATACGGACTTCTACGGAGTAAAATTTAGGGTTTGTCATCAGCATTCACGTCACGTGTTGTATCTGCTGGTGGGGGTTATGCATTGGTCGACCGTTGCGATATCTGGGCTCATTCCAGCTCAGTGGCGGATCCAGCAAAATGTATGGGGGGGGGGGGTTCCCCAAGCTACGCTTAAAATATACGGAGCGTAAATCGCAGAGAGAAGCTATGCGTAATCTAGATGATATGAATCGTCATGCGTTGGGGGGGGATGTCTCCCCCCGCTGGATCCGCCACTGTTCCAGCTTGAAATATTATCAAGTATTCTAACCAATAATTTAAGGCCTTATTGTGTACATCTCGGGAGATCTTCCGTGATGATCACGTGTGTGAGAATTTGGGCCGTTCACAACACTATCGCTTTTATATGTAATTGCCTCACAATAATAATAACTAAATTATAATAACTAATTAGATTTACTAAATTATTACTAAATGATCGCAGGGTCTGGGCTAATTTGAACTTGAAATATTGCAAAGTATCCTAAATGGCGACGTGGGCACGGTGAGAATTTGGCCCGTTCATAGCAATATCGGGGTTTATCTGTAGTCGCCTGTCAATTATAACAATAACGCTTAGATATATTTACTAAACTATTTATATACTATATAGGTGTAAATGCCGTTGTTTTCACTCATGCACGTCATTTTGAAATCACGAAAGCGCGTCAATGCTAGAGGGCGCGATTTATAGAAAATCTGTAGCGTGGAAATTCAATATTTTCAGCAAACACAATTACCGTATGTTATAATCATTGAATGAGACAAACAAATAAACCTGAGATACGATGATTAGGCCAATGAGCTATGATATTCAGAAATTGTGCCATTTTCATGATAATACTGTGTACAAATTTGCTACGTGTGTCTTACATGCTACCATAGTATTACCAAATTGATATTTTAATTCAAATTAGTGAGTTTTTAATGTGTTTAAATCTATGAAAACTGCCAAAAATTTTCATTATATTCATACTGTTTTATGAATATTGCACAGTTTCACGACTCGAGCATCGCAAACATGATCGAAGGAGTCTGTCTCTTCGTGTTGTTTCCTTCAGTAAATATTCTCGAGTTTGAAATGCGATTATAAAATTACTATTATAATGCCTGTCTATATCCGGCTATGAAGCTTGTTTAGACACCAGCGTTCTAGCATATTTTCTTTCTCGAAAACATACCATGACGTATGCAGTATGTCTGAACAATAAAAGGGGCGGGATTTTTGTTGGACTATTTTTTTTCACGAAACTATATGTGCGCAATATTCCTTGCCTGAAAAATAAAATTGGATGTTTCTGACTTTGACCTATTGTTGGTAGTTAGAAACGACACTCGTCATCTGACCACGAGCGGGCTGAGTGTCTGTTATTTCAGAGGTAGTTAGACAATCAGTGACATTGTTACATGATTGGCTTGTCGGGTCAGTTTAAGGGTTGAAACCAATCAGAGACGCTGTTATTAGCCAAATCCATACTAGTCTGGAAATCTGCTTCCTTTGTTGTTGTTCAATTTATTTTGTTTTGGGTAAAAACGTTTTAACGCTGTATAGTTTGAATTAGGCCAAAGCACGACTAGCCTGACATGTAAGCGTGAGTGGCGCCCTCGTCGTCCGAACGACATCAGATCCCACTGCGTTGTGTTTGGAGCACCGCGGAGGGCGCAACTCTCGCGACCTTCTCAGGCTAACTCACGGCGAAAGAACGCAATGCAGGCTTACTGGCGCTAAGAATTATGGGTAATATGAATGAGTTTTACAGCATGAGTGCACACGGATGTGGTTTTTGGACTATTGTGTGACATATCTGATGGTCAGAATTTGCACGAATTGTGATAAATATGAACACAACCTACTAAATTCACTGAATTATGACGAGCACGTCCGAATGACGGCGAATGTTTCTGTTCCACATTTAATCAAATGTCATTTGCGAACACTTGTTGGCGTTTCGACGAAAGTCACGGTAGATTCACTAGTATTCACTATCTCAGCGACCCACAATACTTAGCGCCGAAACAAATAGTTACGTAATTACGCTCTCAGACAGTGCAACAGCCGGAACTCACATCCAGACCAAATAGTGGAACATATTTAAAAAAAAAGAAGGAAATATTGTAAACAATTACATTTAAAATTGAAACAATATAGTAATATCAGTATTACGTTAGTCACGTGACGGCGACGGCGACTCGTGATATGTTAGACTACATTCAATCTATAGACATACCACAATGTAAACACTTCATCCATAGTATATGTACACATAGACCACCGATTGTTGCCTCTAGTTTTAAAAATCAAACAGAAAACAACATCGCCATCATACAAATGAGAAGCCGATTCAATCATACAGCTACTGCCGATATTCGAAACACTGACAGTGCAAGGACGCACACAGTCTGTATATACCCGGAGGTGTCACTACTAGAAACTCACCAATGGGTATGGTAGGCAACCAAGGGGTTAGACAAGGTCGCGTGAGTTGCGCCCTCCGCAAACCTAACACAGGTCAGATGCCGTTCGGCCGGCGGGAGCACTATTTGCGTCTATTTGTCAAGCTACCAAGGGGTCTAATATATATATGTATATGCGAATTCTATTTTGGATGTAGATCCGTGAGCATCAGCTCTCCAATACAAACCCATAATCGTAATCATTAAATCACGAGTTTGGGGTATTTAGTTTTACCACTTCCCTCTACATAATGTGTACAGTGTTTCCTTGTTTATCATGTACAAACACATAAGATAGACGAATAAACAACCACGCGACTACGATTATAGTCTAACACGGAACGCCTTCACGGTGGCAGAGTGTGTGTGTGTGAGATATTGAGGGTCGTGTTAGTCATGGTGTACTAGACTGGCAGGGTACAGTGACGAAGTCGGCATCCACCGATTATTATCGCCGTGCGCATATCAGTTTACCTTATTATTAGCTATATAGCAAACATGACCTTCCAGGTTCACCGACAACACGTTATGTCTCCCAGGGCAGACATAATACAAAGTCAAGGATTTCTATAGAAATGACCTCTTTTATTTCACTCGAAAGTGAATGAATCCACGGAACGGAACCAAGTAAGCAATATACTCGGCGAATCTAACGCAAGTAGAGAGAGTTCCTTAGGGCCCCTCACCCCTAAGCTAATACTCCAGCCCCAATGTAATTGAATATGCCCCTCCAGCTAACTATACATGTCCTGAACTGAAGAAGAGCATATCTAATTGAAATGGGAGAGGGGCACTGGCCGGTTGGACAAAGTTATGATTAGAGTTATAGGTGAGGGGCCCTAAGGAACTATTACCACGCAAGCCGTGTGTTTGCCAAGGAACAACATAGGTTATACAAAAATGTATCATGATCATGTCACAGACAGCGTATTTCGATTCACCAAGACGGATCACTCCGTGGCTCGTAAGTTTTTGACTGTCAGCCATACATGGGCGGTTCCATTTCAGCGGTTCGCAGCCGCGTTTTGCAACCACCATCTTGTACCCCAAGAACCCGAGCACATTATTTCAAAGACAATCAGCTAAACGATCTATAAAATCAGGAGACTTACGGCAATGATATACTTGTGTTGTCTTCCCATCGTGGCTTCAGTGCTTGGAGCTGCTACATTATGTAACCTCGTTCAAGAAATCTTCTCACGGGTGTTAAGATTTGACAGATTGTAATTCAAAACGTAACAAAGGCTGTCAAAGGAACCGCCCACTCCGTGAATACCACGAATGCATTCAAGATGCAGTTGCATTGTTGGATTCATTGGTCATTACTCTTCGGTGGACATAAGTTTATTTACCTTGTTTGTCACCAGTTTTCAAATCACGAACCTTGGCGATATCGCGGATTTCATGTCTTATCATTTGAGGGTCATTTCGGTCGTGACACTAGAATACATATCACATGACGTCATCACGACGCCTAATTCACACGTCATTTTAATCAATTGACCGGTGTTTATAGAGCATGCGGGTCTTTTCCCGTGAAATTAATAACCATGTTATGAAGGTTTATACTTTTCTTTTCAAAATATTGGTTAATGCCATTATGATAAGGCAATAAAACAAATCACGGGTGATTATCGGACAAGAAACAAGGGGAGTAAAAAATCTTTGGAAAATGTTGCTGTCTTCAGGTCTCGAAATTTACCTCGTCATAACATTGGTCGAAAAATTCATATATTGTTATAATGATTCAAATTTTCATTAAATTTGACAATTATTTTATAATTTTATTAAATGTCGGCTTTGTTTTGACTATGGGGCGAAGATTTTATGTGAATGTCAACAAATCGAGCGCCGTCGACGCTGGGGGGCATGCTCCCCCGGGAATCTAGACCCTCTAAAACGCTGTTTCCTGCATTTTGGGAGCACATATTGATGGTACACTTAGGTATATTTCTCTTACGTTGGGCCGCACGGTGTGCATTTCTACCGACATTTGCGGTGGGTTTTAGTGACAAATATAAATGAGTGTTTTACCTTCTACGACCTATTTACTACGGTGCCGCCGCCACTGCCATTTGTTTTAAATATTGTGTTTCGATTCCCATATTAGAATCATAAATTTATCTTTGGTGTTTAGTTTGATGCATGTGTTGACATTGCGGCAATTTTGCTGAAACAATCGAAAAATAACATTTGAAAGGAACATCGCTGTTGTTCGAACTTGTATATACCAAAATGAGTGAGTAAGAGTCATTCGATAAATAGTTTGGCGGTGAACTAGTTTACCCTTGCTTTATGATACAATAAACTTATGTACACGTATGGCGGATTTATACATAATAAGACAAGTCATTGTGATTGATGTATGTGATCACGTGACATAGGATAACTCGTAAATAACTTGTTGAAAGACTGTTTTTCTTCAAAACGCTACGATCGTACTAGAATAGAAAAGAATAATATAATTGTGGTCGGTGTTACAAATGTGTTGTTCATTAACGAAAGCGGGAGGGTCGTCGCGTGCGCACGCGCGAGAATTGAGTCCGAGTCTCAAGCGACGATAACTACACACGTTAAAACGCAAAGACTCATGGGTAGACACTTGTTTGCAAACCATGACACGCTATGACCATCTGACGCATGCGCAGGTGACGACTCCCCGTTTAAGAGATACAGCTGCCTGCTAAGACCGAGCATATCTCGCTATCACGAAAAAAGGAAATCGTTGTTATACACTTTTTATTTACTTTTATGTCCTACATTTCACAAAGAAAAAAAGACGATAACGAGGAGACACTGACTTCTCATTCATGTCACTAATAATCTACTGTAGCCATTCATGCATACATATGTATATGAGTTGCATTCATGTTTCATAAGTTTTTTTTTATTTTAAATATATATTATATTTTTTTTATTTTGAAACGTTTAAATCATATTTTAAGTTATGTTAATTTATCAGTTCCATTTAAAAAAGATTGACCTTTAATCACTTAGTTCATTATAATAAATATTTTTATACTATATATTTACGAGCGATAGAGGGCGTAGGCAGTAAAAGAGATAATACCCACATTTTAAAATACTAGTATACCGGGAAACTATAGCCTTCACTTGCAGTGGAACAGCCAACGGGTAGCTTGGTATACACCCTGTTATTGATGGTATAAGAGTGAGTATAAATTTGGTCATTTTTGGTCGGACAAAGTAGACCACTGTTTATGACTTTACGTATACGTGGGTTATTTTGTGTTCATCGTGTCAAATCTTGGCAACGCTAATAACTTTTTCTCAAATTCAATGTGATTTTTTAAAATACGGACGATGTTCAAAACATTATTGGTTTGGGGATTTGTTATTTAGAATGTTTGCCATATTTCTATTT